ATAGGTCGGTGGAAGTGAAGGCAAAGATGTTCCACATTCTCAAAGAGATACTAGTGTAGCAGATCAGTTAGGTGTCAATGCTATGGAAGGACCTTCTGGTGTGAAAGTTGACATGTTTGTTGCTAAAGTAACTTTCACACCAGATGTAGCACATGCTGGCGTTATTGGTGAGATTGCAGATGCGGCGGCAGGGGAGACGGAGGAAGAATATGAGAAACAAAAAGTGCTGTTTGTGCGACTGCAAGTGTTGATGCAGCGGCAGGGGAGACGGAGGAAGAATCTGAGAAACAAAAGGTTCCTAAATCCCGGACGGGTGCTGTTTGTGCGACTGCAAGTGTTGATGCAGCGGCAGGGGAGACGGAGGAAGAATCTAAGAAACAAAAGGTTCCTGAATCCCGGACTGGTGCTGTTTGTGCGATTGCAAGTATTGATGCGACGGCAGGGGAGACGGAGGAAGAATCTGAGAAACAAAAGGTTCCTGAATCTCGTACTGGTGCTGTTTGTGCGACTGCAATTGTTGATGAGGCGGCAGGGGAGATGGTTCTGTACAATGCTGAATTACTTCCTGAAGTATCGCTGCAAATGGAAAAAAGAAAGAGATGTCCTGCAAAGGCCGTGCAGTCTCCGTTCATTTCTGTGTTTGATTCAGGTTCCAGTACTGGTGTTGTTGCAGCGAACGGAGAAAGGCAAATTTATGCTATTAAGCATCATTTTCAAAGCCTGATACACATATGATACAGATATGATACACATAAGATACACAGTTTTCAAATATGTATTGATGAAGCCACTCTTATTTGCAAATTTCTAAAACTATTTGCATAGTTTTCTAGCTGCTACGACTGTTTTCCATTAGTTAGCTTTGTTACTACACAAATACAGGCATGAGTAAGAGCCTATACACAGAGATACATAGGTGATACACGAGCGATACATAGATGATACAAATGTGATGCACAAGCGATACATATATGATACATAGCTAATACAACTTCTTTTTAATCAAACAGATGTATAATATAAACTTGCAACACGATTTTAATTGATAGGTCAAATATTTATATATATCTAAAATTCAAATGACATTATACAATGATATAGTTCTTGATATATTGCATTCTTCTAAATCTCTATGATATTCAGTAAAGTAAAATAACAAGTAATTCTAAATTTGACATATTTCATCCTCTCTTTGGATTATTTCTACAAGTTTTCCTGTTGTGACCTTCTTCTCCACACTGTCCACATGAAATCGACCTTTTTTTGTTCCCTTTCAGATATTGGCTTGCACCTCCCCTTCCTTGGCCTTCCTATTCTTTTAGTCACGTCTGGTAGCAAGACTTTTTCATTTAGAGCTTCTGCGGGAATTTCCCATGTGCTTTCATCAGGAACCGGATAATTTGGAATTTCATAGGTCTTCAATAGGTACTTCGTGGTGTAGTACACCGAGCAATACTCAATGTGATCAATGTATTTGTATTTTAATATTGCCCAAGCATGTGCACGTGGCAGCTCATCCAACTGAAACCTTCTACAGGTGCAAGTTCGATCTTTTTAGGAACACCATTCTCTGCTTACCCTTGTCAAGTACTGAATATAAGTAACTCGTCGAAGGGATCACCTACAAAATTTATCAACTATCATTAGTGGTGACAAAGCAGATGCCCTCAAAATACATATACTAGAGAGCCTACAAGATTCAAAATAGCTTAATATCATGTCAAACCAACCAATATTTCATGAGTGGGGTAGGTATAAATGCTACATTAAATTGAAAGCCTTTGCTTTTGTGCAGGTGGACACTAGTTTAACAGAATCACACAAAGGTTTCAAGATATAACAGATCCGTGAAATTCAGCATGATTACATATTCTATGCGCAAGTATCTACAGATTCCAGTCATACCTTCATCTGATGTGACAATTCAAGATTGTCCATCAGCATTGTATCATATTTTTTTCCAAGATCAGTGATGACTCTACTGCATTCTTTAGGTTTGTAACATTCCATCGTCCGATCAATTTCCTTATGTAGTCTAGCAAAGGCAGTACTGGGAGTTCCCTAGCAGCCTTGAGTGCTGCATTGATCGACTCCGCAATGTTTGAAGTCATCGTCAATGTTCTGTTGACAGTGGAATGTGCTCTGGACCATCTTTCATACCCAACATTCATTAAGTAATCTTTGACCCTCTTATCAATTTTCTCTACCTCTGCCATGTGGTAATCAAACTTCTCAACTGTGTATGCTTTGGCCATAGTAAAGAATATGTCTTTGAGCAGCAAATGGTTTTTTTTTGTAATTTTTTTTTACATTATTCCATAGATGCCATATGCAGACACAATGAGGTACTTGTGTTACAATGTTGCCGCTGCATTTTCAATGCCTTCATGCCTGTCCGAGACTATGCACATTCCCTCCCTTTCCCCAAATGCATCCTTGAATCTCGCAAAAAACAACTCCTAGGAAGCATTATTCTCTGAATCTACTATGGCATATGCGAGTGGTAGGATATTACCTGCTGGATCTTGTGTTGATGCTATCAATAATGTTCCTCTATATGCCGATTTAAGAAAGGTTCCATCTACAACAACAATCGGTTTGCAATACTGCCATCCTTTTATAGACGGATATAATGCAACGAAAGCATACATGAACAAGCCTTCCTCTGTTTTTTTCAAACTTACCACCGACATAGGATTTGTAAGAACCAACATATAAAAGTAGCTTGGCAGCTTTTCATATGATTCGCTCGGGTTTCCTCTCAGTACTTGAACTGCATATTCTTTCGATCTCCATGCTTGCATATATGTCATCTGAAGACCATACTGCTTGTTCATGTCTCCAATTATGTCATTAGGAGTGTATATTATTTTTGGGTCTTTATACTTGTCTATCAGAAGACTGCCGATGAGTTTTGCAGTAGCTTGACGTTGTGCGTAAGATCTGTCTTTCAGGGGGCATGAGTGCACTTTGCTGAAATTTCTGACCTTGAAAACGTTTGCTTTTTTCAGGCTCGAAGACTTAAAATACTAATCACAGTTGTTGTTGATGCATACTAGGCAGTACCTACGACAAGGATATAAACTTTTCCATCAATAAACAGAGCGACATGAAATACAATGATATATAGTGATACACACCGCCATCAACAATACTAGATGAAAAAATACAACGACTATACAGTACTAGACGGTGACAACCACAACTTAAAAGTGTACAACCACATACTTACAAGCAAAAACTTATTTTCTGCATAATTATGCTTCTAATATCAACTACGATATACATTGAGATACATAATTATACAATAAATATTTTGATACCTGCTTTCACTTGATCTATGCACCTTAAACTGAAATTTTTCCTTTACTGCCAAGTGCCTCATGACTTTGATTATCGTTGCCTTGTCTTTATAAATTTGACCTTCTTCTACATCTATGTGTTGAGGGTCAGTTATTATTGTATTTTCATCAGACTCTGTATCATTCCAGTCCTCTTCATCCCCAAACTCGATCATCTTAATTGTATCTGTATCTCTCCTCTACAACTGAGCTTTGTGCACATTCTGAAGAAATCACAGCAGAATTGGAATTGTAGCAGATCATGTCCATATCCTTTTCACTCGATGTTATACAAAGGGGATACATTGTAAATTCTAAGCTTTTTTTCCAGCTCAAGATATACACATACACCCATACTATTGTGTATCACTATTGGCGGAGAACCGTTTTGGACAGTGTATTTGATTTCAATATCACTCAATGAAGTATCTATCATAAGTTATTTCGAAATCACGTCTACAAAATCTTCAAAACTTATATTTGGAGTAACTATTACAACATCTGCATTATAATCTACAAAGCTGTTGTCAACATTCCACCGGCCACCATACTGAATAAAAATTGATAAATTTGCCATTGAAGTAGCTGAAATTAGGTCAAAACTCACTAATTCCTTGATTGATTTTGATTGCAGTTCGTAGTTCCTTCTACACAGAAATTGCAAAAGCTGTATCTACCCAGAAATTGCGAAGGTATATAGTGAAATTGATCGATTTTGAGTGAAATTTGGAGCTCCCTTTGAGAATTTTTGGAGAGAGAATGCCGTGATTTACAGAGGTAGAGAATGTCGTGATCTGTTAAATTGATACGCTTGAAAAAACAGGGAAGGAAGGAAGATCTTTAGCGTGATTCTCGGATAGAAGAATCCTTCCTTACGCGTATCTCTAGTTTTGGGCTACTTTTGGTAAGTGTCTAATTTTGGGCTAGAGGTTGGTAAGTTTGTATTTAAATTGGCTATTTCTGTACTTCTCCCTATTTTAAAGGGTACAAAAGGTGAACAATATTTTGCAAAGGGCATTCGCGCTTTTACATAAATATTAATGAAATACACAAATTACTATGTTGTCCAATGTGAATTACATATTTTAAAGGATAAAAAAGGTGAACGATATTTTGCTAAGGGCATTCGCGCTTTTAATATAGTATAGATAGATAGATTAGTAGGATTTGCACCAAGTAGCCGATTTTAAGGGGTGCCGTCTTGAATACAGAACTTTAAGTTTAGCAAGTATTTTCCCCCGCTTGCCGTATGGGCACACTTTTAAGGTTTGACTTTGAAGTTTTACCCACAAGGCCAGCGGAGGACCATCCCAAAAAGTATCATATTTCTACAATATTTTGGATTTTAAGGGGGTGATTTAAAATTTATTTTAAGTATTTATATTTTAGCCGCATTGGCAAACTTCAGTCATATTATTTTGTTCTTTTGTTTTCGCAATTGAAGATTTTCTTCTGCATAACCTTTATGAGTTAATGATTTCAATCATAAATCCGAGAGATTGTAGCATGTTTCATTTGCCACATATGTTGATTTCATATATTTGTGTTTTTTGCATTCCAATAATGATTTTTACATTCTGTTTACTCATAAAATAGGCTATCATTAGCGGTCGGCATCAACCATGGCTAAAGTAATTTTATTGAATTTAACACCAATCAAAATGCATATAAAAGTCATCTTTATTGAAATTCAACCCTGATCTGAAACAAATTCAACCTCACCAGACAAACATTTAAAAGGTCTTGCACCAATCCTTGTGCTTTTACACAACATTACAATGTCCTAATGGACAAAATATAATGCCAGTGTCTATTAACTTCACATATATGAGCGCATACGAGGCCTTACTAGAGACTGAGCACCATCGACGAAGATGGAAGTTCCAGTCATGTATCGTGAATCATCACCGATTAAATAGATGACAGTGGATGCCAGATCCTTTTTAACGTCAAGCCATCGATTTAGAGGCGCTGCTTCCTTGGTCAACTTCTTCGCTCTCTCCTTTCCCACTGACATAGGATACTCATCCTCGAGGTGCAAGCCACGCGATATGCCATTCACCCTAATTTGGTGCTTCCCCATCTCTAGTGCAGATAGCTGAGCAGGCATACAGATATTATCATCAAAATAAGCATAATTAGACAAAACGTGGAACTAATATATAATGGAAGCAGCATCGCTCCGGAAGTTAAAGCTAGTTTAGTGGTAGAATCTAATATGACTGTTTCCGGTAAGATTCTGAGACTAATGTTAAAACAATTCAGGAGAAAAGAAACCACGAGAACTGCTATATCGAAGAACAATTCAAAAGATACCATGGAAACTGAAGTCTTCTCTAACATTCACAGACCTCTCTATCCAGGGACTACAGAGATAAATTGATGATCCTCCCAAATTTTCGATCGCCTCGGAGCCTTCGATAGTCAATATCCTACAACTGGAACCAAAACCACCTTCTCTCCCCTCCCAAATATTGCTAATACTTCCAACTTTGAGACAAGCAGTAATGACAGATATATAAAATAAAATAGATAAAAATTGAAAATCTGTAAATTATCCGTAATTGAAGTATATCCCACATGGCAATCAAACTTCCCGATCACCCCCCAAAAAAGGGAGGGTCGTAATTCATTTTGAGGAGATGTCATGGTGTGAGTTTTCCTAGTGCTCGAGCAAAAGATAGTAAACCCAGAGATACTAATATACCATATTAGACAACATAATTTGTCTGAAATTTGAAATTTCTTCCACAATTGGGAAATCCCAAACAACCTCAAAGGCATGATGCAATAATAGATGATACAACACATGTCTAACAGAATAAATTAGTAATTAGACGGAAAAGAGGGGTGATCAAGAGAAGGAACTATAAAGTGAAAATGTTAATGAAGAGGGGTAATATCTTGTCCCATCTAATTTTATGGAACATGGTCTTACACAGTCTGATCATGCATCCAAAACACATAGGAGAACAAAAAAAGTCACTTACCCTAACCAGCTGCTGTATTCCAGCCGCACATGAACCATAAGCAGCAGCTCCTTGATATATTCCTCTCTCAGCACCAATGATCGAGGTCAGAAATACAATGGATCCTCCGGATTTATTATCTCGCATTCTTTTACCAATACATTTCAACAGGTACCATCCAGCCATAAAATTTATCTTGACAATCTTTTTGAACTCGTCTTCAACTAGCTGCAGTGGATCTTGCATTTTCCCTATTTCATTGCATGACAAGTATTAATAAACTTACTGTCAAACATGACGCACCTCTAAACAAAGGCCAAACGCATCCATAAACTAACATGTCATGAAAAGAGTAGCAAGCACCAAAACCTATTAATAACATAATACTAAGACGAAACAAGGAGTTCTACTTCTGGAGGCTACATCTTGGTCCTGCTTATGGGGTCAAATGTATGAGACGGAATCAGTTAACAAGCTTTTGGGCCCACTCCGTCTATTATATCTAAGTTCTCTCTCACCAACTAACTTTTATCCAACACAGAAGTAGGTTTTGTGAAGCAGTCCCTGCATGCTTTTCCTTGCTTAAGACAGGACTACAACTTGTATTTTCTAGCCACACATAACAAGTTCCCTTTACACACATCACTCAAACTGCCCTCAATTGACAATGTTTAGTCTACATTTGGTATATTAACATTGGGATATGGGAGAGATAAAAAGTGAGAAGGGGGTGGTCACTCAAACAGAAAGGCAAAAGGAGTGGATTAAAACAACAAGAAGACAATGGATCACTCAAATACTTATTTTCTCTTCTCATGAAACTCGAATGGGACAAATTTCTGAGTCTAGGAAGGTAAATAAGATTTACTATTGTTATGGCTAGGTACTCTTTGCAAGAAAAGAACTTCGTAGTTCTGCAGGTCTAAAATTAGATATAACATACAAACCCAAATCTAGAAACTACAGTATTCCGTAATTTTCAAGATAATAGAGCACATAGTGCTTAATTCATATTAACACATTACGGGGACAAAAAAAATATCTTTCTTGTTCGATATAGTTGCACTTCGAAATATTTTTCTGATTTCCAATAAATATGCAACAAATTCAGCAAGTAATATGGTAATGACAAACAACTCACAACCACAAAAAAATACGAGGTTAGCTAGTTTACATCACAATCTATTCGTACATGTTCAACTATACAAGAGATTTACAACACCAGTAGTAAGTAATTCCCATGTGCACCATGATATTGATAGCAGCTATGGAGTTAGAGTACTGAAAACCAGTCGATCCTTAATAGTTTCGCTACTTCCACAGTTCAGAACCAAGTCACATCTTCACTTTCTAACACTTAATAATCTCAAAACATGAATGAACAAACATCAAATATTATTTAAGCCCACAGACAGAAGAAACTTGACATTCAACTATTCACACACGTGGAGAAAAACTATTCACAATATAAAGATACCTATTATCAATATAATCGCTGATCTAATCAAATCCTAATCTGCTATGATTTGCCAAACCCTTTATTGTGTTATCAGGTTGACAAAATTAGTTAGCCATTCGCGCATGATTATTTTCAGTTCATATGCTGGATAGAACAGAGAAGTAGCAATATCATCGTCATTTTACATCCTTCTGTATCTAAAGAATAAAGATAATTAAGATATTTGTTTGAAATAAATGTCATGTTGTACCTTCATAAGAATAGCAGTGTACCAAAGCATCCAAATGTCCAAATATCTTCCACGCCTTCTCCACAGCTTCCTCATAAGCACTTTCTCTATCCTCCGTCATGTCCAATCCCACAACTTCCACTGCAACGCTACCCTCTAGAGAATGCTTTATCTTCTCTGCTACACTCTTCAATTGGCTCTCATTTCCCAACAAAACCAACCTAAGCGGTAGAATCAACAAAAGGATTAAGTAGAGCTTATGTTTGTGCAAGCAGTTGTGCCTATGAAATGTGAGTATCAGAGTGCCTATACTATATTCCATGACAAACTGAACCGCTCTCTCTTCTCTGTGCGTGCGCGTGTGTGAAAGAAAGGATGAGTTCTATGCATTTTAAAAAAGGGAAAGTACATACTGGCAACCCCTCTGAGCTAAATGGTAAGCAATGTTATTGCAAATGTCATCACCATTGGAAGTAAGCAACACCTTCTTTCCACGATTTTCCATTTCCACGCCAAACTAAAGAAGATTGCAGTCGTCTCCAAAAAAGTAGCTCAGGCAAAGAACGACATAAAGTTCCAAGATAACCTGAAAAGAAAAATGCATACACCCAGGAAAACACTGTCGAAGATTACTGAATGTTATATTTTATAAACATGATTAAGATTAAACATTGATAAGAAGTCTTTAATTCATAGTACGGGAATAGCTACTACTGATATGAGAAAGCAAAATCTTTATTTATGATCTATTAGACCCATGATTAACGTGGGGAAAATTATATAATTCACCATAAGTCAAGCAGACATTGGAATTAACAACTAAAATCATCTAGTCAATCCTGAGCTCGAGGAGTTATAAAATTATTGGTGGAAGGGTAATGTGTACGCATACCCCTACCTTGCCAAGTACAGAGACACTCGGCTTAAGAAACAGTAAACTGGAAGCAACCAACTATAACAACAACATGAAAAAAGCTACGTGTAATAACACACAAAAACGTTGACCCATATCATAAAACACCCATCAATTTCCATTAGAATGAAAAACGAAAAACCGATCAATTGCAAACAAATAAACAAACAAAAAAGAGAAAAAAAACGTAGAACACCCATAAATTCTTTACCAGCTGCTCGATCCGGGAAAAATCAGAAACACTGCTGGCCCTGAATTGAAAATTTTTACAAGTAGGAAGTGAGTTGGGATGGTCAAGAAGCTTGAGTGTATATATATATATGTATATATATGTAGACCCAGATATTGACTGGTAGGTAAGGCTAATTACCTTACCAAAATTAGACCACAAAAAATAAATACCTTGACGGCTCGGAGACAAAACCACGTGTTTCGCGCTGTAATGACAGTAGTCGGCTAATTGATTCAGATAATGTCATAATCAGTATATCTCCGTTCACTAAAATTTAAACATAAAATAAGAAATTGCCTAGTATTTTGGGCCTTTCATGGAATTTCAACATGTGATTTCACTTAATTTTTAGGGGGTTTCTAAAATCTGTGATGCGAAAAATATATTTATATAACCTAAAATAATAATAATAAGTAACATATTATAACATAGTATTAGTTATAGTGATAATATGAAAAAATCATTACAGTATCGGTGTATATAACATGAATCCTATTTCAGTGAATTTTTTTTTAAGAAAAGTAATTTTATTAATCAATTGTGATTACACTTCTGTTTGAAGGGGCGTAACTGGTAAAATTGTTGTCATGTAACCGGGATGTCACGGGTTCGAACCATGTAAACAGTCTTTTATAGAAATGCAGGGTAAAGCTGCATACAATAGACCCTTGTGATTCGGCCTTTCCCCGGACCCGCGCATGGTGGGAGCTTAGTGCACTAGGCTACCCTACACTTCTGTTTGATTCCTTGATCCTTCTATAACGTAGGTTGATGCAGACTTAATTGAGATGTGTTTGATCTCTATGAAAGTCGAACAACACTTTATATTAATCACGAGGAACGATTTCTTTTAATCTCTCATTTTATGGATCTTTTTGAATTATTTGATTGTCAAGAAGCGTCAAACCGTATTTCGAATTGATTTTGAGGAAAAACGTTTTAACGTTCCTGGAAAAAAAAAATCAAGACCAAAAATATAACGACAAACATTATATTTGATTTCAAGTGATGGGGTTACAATCTCTAAAAACAAATCCAAAGAAACGTAGTCCTCTGATTCTTCTCCTCACGAATGATGGTTCAAGAGCTTGAGAGCTTGATCTTGAACTTGACAGATTTCAGATTTGTGGTGCGTCATGAACAATTTGAAGATCGTCACGAACCAGGATTTGGTGTTGGTTATCATGAGCGGAAGATTTGAAGTCGATCGCCTATGATTTGAGTTCGCCTTTGGGGTTTGACCACAGACGAAGATTGCAGGTGTGAAGGCAGACCTTGATGTTGTTTTTCAGTGTTTCTTTAGCATTTCCTTCTGCTTACTTGATTGTTCCTTCTTTTCTTACCCTGTGACCCCCTTTATATAGGCGTGGGTAGAGTAGCCTCCAAGAAAACTCTAGTGCAGTCATTGGGCTGGAGGTTTATGAGCCGATCCATTTGATGGAAGAATGGACTAGCCCAATTTTATTGGACTTTTATTTAAATCAATTTAATTAGATTTAAATAATTGACTCAATCATACTAGCCCATAATATTTGTTTGGTCTAGTATATGTCCAATCATGATAAAATCCAAATGTCGTATGGATTTAAATTTAATAAAAATTTAATTGTCTACAAACATTTTTTGATCACTTCGACTTTGAAAAAATATTATTTTATTTCTTGATCTCTTAGTAAATATTGAAATTTATGAACTCTTTTAGATTTTAAATTCATTTAAGTACCTACCGAGTTCCTGGTCTGTGCCATGCGAAAATATGCAAGGTTGTTGTGCTCGGCTCCAATTGGTTTAACATTAGAAATTAATAAAATTAATCAGTTCCGTTTAATTAATGTAATACTCGTAATTGCTGACATACGGAGAAAAAAATCTCGTTGGCCTAATAATATGATCAAATTAGGTACATTTAATTAAATGGTCTAATGGACCACTAGTAGCACTCCATGAAATTAGCTTCAACTCACACCATACATTTCCTACTTTGCTTTCAAAGTTCAAACACCTTTAATAATTAAGTAATCGCTACAAATATAATCTGATTACAAAATTTGAAATTTGATTACAAATAGACCTAACGATGTAGATACTTAGCAAAATTTTGGTTAACTTCGATAAGCCAAACTCTTCAAATAAGTGATGTCATAACTATGAACCAATTTCAAGCTTTAAAGTGAATGCAAGTTTATTAATTAATTAATTATCTAGATCAAAAGTTTGGATTCTATGTGATTAAAACCTAGCTAGGATATTAATTTCCCTTATTGCCTTTGTGACTAAATAACACTTATCCTATTAAGTCTCATTTGGTATTTTGTTAATTGTATGAGTCGAAATCTGATCAAGAGGAATTCTGCACTGAAAGGGGCAACAGAAGGATCAAGAAAGCAAAAGGAGTATTTAAGAGGCTCTACGTCGGCGAATACCTCGGCCACGGCTGAGGTCATGCACTCGGAAGGCCTGTACAACGAAGTAAATGATACGACACTTCAGAGGGTTAACCTAAAGTACGGTCGAAAGACTAAGGTACCCTGGTTAAGAACCGTTGGGTAAATGAAAATATCTCGCACAAATACTAGATGGGAGAATTAAAATGGGGGGGGGGGGGGGGGGCTCCAAGAGCTGAGAAATCATCATTCATAACAAGGAGAAACCTAAAAGCGTACTTCGTAAATGGGGGAGAGCCCAGAACCATGCGTTCATTTGTAATCATTATCATTACATAAACGAAGAGAAGTTTGGTTTACGGATCGGTGAACTTCTTTCTTTTATTCCTTTACTTTATATTATAAATTGATGTTGTTGAGTATGTTACTCAATTGTATACCAAAGGTGTCAAACGTGCTCATAATCGATCCTTGAGTCTAACCATTCGGTTCCTTTTGCTCATTATTTTCTGATCTAGAGTTAATTATTTTTGGCTAGAATTTATCCCTCTTCTTTTTATTTATATTAGTTTACCAAAAGATTTGAAAAATATTTTGCTCAAACAATTTGGCGCCGTCTGTGGGGATTTTCTAGCCAAAGCCTTAGTTCCCTCTAGATCCAAACATGGCCTTAGCTCTATCTCCCATTCGGAGAAGTTTCACCCTTTCATTATGAATGTCGACTTGCAAAACCGGTCGGTAAACCCCTGAAACCGCCAAACCAACCAAGGGTAAATCCTTACGCGAGACTGGAGTTATGCCTGGTTTACACACGAAAACTGCTATGCGCCACAGCAGCAACCCTGATGCATTGTGAACATGAGCCATCATAGTGGGACTATGACTACGCATACCAAACACGTCCATAATCCCATTTCCAGGTTAGTATCCAACACCTCCTACGTCCTGAGCATATCGCCTTCCCTCCTACTATATGAGACGATGCTTGTTCTGTAATTTACTGACTAAAATACTCCTCCTCCGTATGTTTGTGGTATGACTTACATTTCTGCCATCTTTGCATGCCGGGACTGAGACGAACTGGGACTTGAACTCAAGACCCTAATGTGGGGAGTGGATCGTCCACCCACGAGATGCCAAAGCTCAACCAGTGACAAGGCTGAGCGCAAAGCCGAAGCCGACATCATGCCGGAAACTAGTACCAGAATACAGAACAAGGCGAGCCGCCTTGCGGCGCGATCCCTAGTTCATTGCCAAGCGAGGGAACTTCCCAGGTCCAAAGAGCGCAGCCGTCAAGGGAAACGTGGCCAATCCCCCTCATTCATCAGCTAAACAACCGACCAAGGTAACAGATGATCCATGTACTTCTAACCCACTATTCCTTCTTTAGAAAAAGAGAGGAGAGAGAGAGAGAGAGAGAGAGAGAGAGAGAAAGAGAGAGAGAGAGAAGTGAAACCGAGAACGTCCCCCCAAATACGCGAACGAAGGCTAGCCGACATACGGGCTCTAAGTTCCTCCCTACGGCAAACGGAAAATTGGGAAAATCCCCCACACCGTACCATACTACGAATAACAAACAAACGGCTCAGAACAAGCCGACATCATTAAGAAACAATCTCCATAGCCTGGGATTGGGCGGTAAGCCCATGGAACGTACAACCTTTCCAACACAGGCAGAACATGAACAAGAAAGCTTGCCCGTATGCTCGCCATGACGATGCTACGCCAATTCAACCGACAAAATACTACGAGTCACGTGCGAACATTCAAATTAATCGAGACCTAGGGTGCCTAGAAGCCCAAGCGATAAGTTCATCGCCCGTCTCGTCAACGGTCTCTCCAGGCCGAGCTATGAAGGGACTAGATAAACTGGGACTCACCCCGACACATACATAAACTATGCAGCAACGCATGATATTCTCCAATGAAAGCAAGATTAGATAAACTGGGACTCACCCCGACGCATGCATAAACGATGCATTAACGAGTAATATTCTCCAATAAAAGCAAGGCAGCATGCAACATTCTTACCACTCCATCGAGCCCGCACATCGCCAAGCGGAAGTAAAGTTCGATCTCGCTCGAACTCATAACGGGTTACAATTTGACCTTGCTCGAATTTATACCATTACGGCCCCGGTCATCGCCAAATGAAAGTAAAACTCTACCTCGTTCGAATCAACAAGCCAAATTTCGACCTCGCTCGAACTCATAACGGGTTACAATTCGACCTCGCTCGAATTTATACCCTTACGGCCCCCGGCCATCGCCAAGAGAAAGTAAAATTCGACCTCGTTCGAATTAACAAGCCAAAGTTCGACCTCGCTCGAACTCATAACGGGTTACAATTTGATGGCGCTCGAATGTGTACCCTTACGGCCCCGGCCATCGCCAAGCGAAAGTAAAATTTGACCTCGTTCGAATCAACAAGCCAAAGTTTGACCTCGCTCAAACTCATAACGGGTTACAATTCGACCTCGCTCGAATTTATACCCTTGCAGCCCCCGACCATCGCCAAGCGAAATAAAATTCGACCTCGTTCGAATCAAGAAACCACAGTTCGCCTCGCTCGAACTCATAACGGGTTACAACTCGACCTCGTTCGAATTTATACCCTTACGGCCTCCGGCCATCGCCAAAGAGTAAAATTCGACTTTCATTCAAGTTAATAAAGTTCTACCTCGCTCGAACTAACCAATTAAGGTTCGACCCCGTTCAAACTAACGAGATGAGATCCGACCTCGCTCGAATCAGCAAGCTAAAATTCGACCTCATTCGAATTCCCAACACTCATCACGGGAAAATCTTAAGATCTTTTTCAAAAAAAATGATGAAGAAAGTCAGAGATATGAAGCCAAAGGCAAACCAACTATCTTATTCAGAAGATATACACACACATCATCATCTTACAAAAGGCCAAAAGCGAGCCCCCGTAAAAAAAATAAGCAACAACAAAAGAACAAAAAAAAAGCTAAAGTACAAAAAGCTACAAAAAGTTCACTCGGCCTCATCTCCACTACCGTTCCCGCCAGTGTTGTCATCATCAGAAGAAAGACCATCTTCAATCTCAACACCCCCACCGGCCTCCGGTGTCATAGGTCATAACCGCAGGCAAGACAAGCTTCGCGTGCCTTAACCCGAGCATCTTCAAAAATGGCATCAGGAATGCTCCCCGTAACCCACAAATTCTTATATATATCTCGTTAGGCCTCAACATGGACCCATATCTCGTACAAATGGCGGGGGACAGCAACAGACGCAGATTCTTGAGGGGAGGCCTGAGCCAACAGTTGCGCCCTCTCGGCCTTGAGAGCCACAACTTGGTCTCCCAAATTTTAGGCATCTCTCTCGAGCTCACCAATCCGCTCCTCGAGCCTTGCCTCCCTCAGTGTGGCCGTCGCCCTCTCGGCTTCCCGCTCAGACCTGAGGACGCGGATAGTGTCTTCCAGCGCCGCTGCCCTCGCCAAAGCCGCCACTCGGGTTCCCTCGGACCTCCAACTCGCCACCTTCCTTTCTATCTCACTCACCTTCTCCGTCCACTCTGCACTTAGATTGGTAACTCTACTGGCATTCTGCTCAAGCTCGGCTCGCAAAGACAACACCTTCGCCTGAAGATCCTCGCATTCCGCTGCAACCCTTTTGCCCACCTCAAGCTCCTCGTCTTTGGCCCTAACCGGCAACTAGAGCTCGCTACATCTGCGGATAGACCGCACTAGATCCTCGTCCTTCATCTCCAACTCCTCCTTGAGGGACTAGTATTATTGCCCGCCCTAAGCTGCGCGTGCATCTCACGTCACCTGTTGCGATACCGATGATATTTCGCAGCCATTTTTAGAAAGATATCAGCCCGTGTCTCAGTCTGACGAGCACTCTCGATCTCCAAGATTTAAGTCTGAGGAGGGAAAAAGGAAGAATCAGCGAAAGCAAATGGCAGAAAACAAAGAAAATAGCAAAAGCAAACTCACCCTCAAGGCCATCGCAGCCACACCGCGTGACAAACCGGAATCACTGATCTCCCGAAGAGATCTACTTTCAGCGGAGGAGCACAAAAGGTCAAATTGGGGCAACAAGTCCACTGTGTCCTCCAACAGGTTAAAGTTCGATGGAATTTTGAGCACACGGGAGGATCCTTCCGTCCTCACATTGACCCTGGTAAAACCTTCCTCGAACATCCTCATGTCCTCAGGATCGATATCAGAATCAGATTCATAATCATCTGCCATTATTCCCTTCAATCGCTCATTAGCCGAAGAGGGGGTGCGGGCCTGCCGAGATGTCGATGGACCGCTCGGAACAATCGCGACGGCCTCCGAACTCTGTCCCCCTGCCACGGCAGCTCTTTCACTCCCGAAACGGGCACCGCCTCCACACCGAGGCTGGCATCACCGCCAAAATAGGGTCACCCCTCCAGGGCATTTTAATCAAAGATGCCCCCTCCGACATTACTCTCTGCCTCTTTGACGGGACCTCTTCGCCACCATCATGAGAAGGTTTGTCCGCCGAACGAACTGTAGGGACCGGAGTGTCCGACCAAAGAGCAGCCTACGAATGAACAGGTTCGGGCGCGAACACGGTCTGCGGAATAGCCAGACTTTGGATGCCCTCATCCACAACTACCATCGGTACGGGCCTGGAAGAAGAAGCCGGCTGACGGAAAGCAAGGACAAGAGCCCTCGCCCTTCTCGCTCCTCTCCGACTTGCGAATGAGAGAAATTTGACTAAATGAAGATATAAGGTAAAGAAAAACACGGAGCAAAGAACAAAGCAACTAAGGCCGAAACAAGCCGACTCACCAGCGGAAGGTTTGCGTCCAAACCTCTCGTGGAAAGGTGCCCATTCGCGAATCCCCATCATGTGGGGCAGAATCAAGCTCACCCGCTCGCGAATATTAGCAACTTGCGGAGGAGGTACTCTCTCGGCTGCGAAAATAAAAACACCCGACGAGATCACTAAAGGGAGACGACCAACAATCATTTAATATATATATAATAAAAGGAAAGTAAAGGAAGATCTACGGGCGAAATTCCACGCCTCGGGAAACCCCGCGGGGTTCGATACCACGTGCTTTGTTCAGACATAGAAGAAGTTCTCCCAAAAGCGGCGAATGGCCTTGTCATCCATCTTCATCACCAATCCCTTGGTTCCTCGGTGACGAAGGTGAATCATCATGCCCCTATAAAAATGGGGGGTGAAGAGGTGAAACATGTGTTGTAGAGAAATTTCCCGATCGTCCAGCTCCGCGTACTTGATAAGCATAAGGAAGAATTTGTATACGTACGGAGAGAGCTGAGCCGGACACACCTCGTAGAAGCGGCAGAAGTCCACCGCCAAGGAAGGAAGGGGAAACGTGTATCCGATGCCAGATGGATATGCGTAAAATGCGTAGTAGCTCGGGCGATGTATATGTACTGTCACGACCCGTCGGGACCAGTTTAATGTGATTAGGGATTCTCCATTTGGTTTTGAATGCCGTGAGCACCACAGCATCCATCGTAGAAATAACAGGTTCAAACTCACCCTTGGCAGGGCTCTTGAAGTCTGTCCTTGCCTTCCCTGGGCGAGGAACCACCTCATCCACGGTTGGAAACTTCTCATCTTCCGCCGTAACTACATCCTCTTCACGTGGAGGCATATCAATTTTCGGCGCAAGGGAAACATCAACTCTCTCCGGGTCAGAGGATGCACTAGCTATCTCTTATTTGGTTGCGAAAATCGAGAACGATAAGGGAAAAAGGTAGCGGACACAAGAATCTTTAACAGAAAGGGAAATGTGAGAAACCGAGGGAGAAGAAGAAAAGTTATGAAAGTCTCTCTTGAGCCATTGGGAAACACAACATTCAAATGTAAGAGCTTTCCCCGTTTATAGGGATATAAATACCCCGAGCAGGAAAACCAAGCGCTGCCATTTTGAAAACGGAAAGGGTACGAGAAACGATGCAATGGTTTGATGCAGCTTTCGAAATGTCACACCATCATCTCGCCATAAGGTATTCCCCTATCAACCAAAATGCTCAGATTTCTCAAACTTTCGAATTGGCAAGGTCCGCCTATCGAGCTCACCCAAGGGCAACCCCGACAGACGGAGGACTAACTGTATGGGTGGAAATCTGATCAAGAGGAATTCCGCACGAAAAGGGGCAACGGAAGGATAAAGAAAGCAAATGGAGTATTTAAGAGGCTCTACGGTGGCGAATACCTCGGCCACGGTCGAGGTTGTGCACTCGGAAGGCCTATACGGCGAAGTAAATGATACGGCACTTCAGAGGGTTAACCTAAAGTACGGCCGAAAGATTGAGGTACCCTGGTTAAGAACCGTTGGGTAAATGAAAATACCTGGTATAAATACTAGATGGGAGAATCGAAAAGGTGGGGGGGGGGGGGCTCCAAGATCGGAGAAATCATCATTCATAACAAGGAGAAACCTAAAAGCCTACTTCGTAATCGGGGGAGAGCCCATAACCATGCGTTCATTTGTAATCATTATCGTTACTTAAACGAATAGAAGTTTGGTTTACGAATCGGTGAACTCCTTTCTTTTATTCCTTTACTTTATATTATGAATTGATGTCGTTGAGTAAGTTACTCCATTGGATACCAAAGGTGTCAAACGTGCTCATACTCGATCCTTGAGTCCAACCATTCGATTCCTTTTGCTCATCATTTTCTGATCTAGAGTTAATTATTTTTGGCTAGAATTTATCCTTTTTCTTATTATTTATATTAGTTTACCAAAAGATTTGAAAAATATTTTGGTACATTAATCATGGTTCCTTGGTTAATCACTAGAGTTTCCTAATTACTATCGTTCTATCTCAATTGGAGTTTTTTTTAAAAAAAAAAACAAAAACAAATTAAGGCTAATATCATGTAAATCACTTTTGTATTGCACGAGTAACTCGAGGCCGAAGCATTTCTTGTTGGATATTTCATGTGGGGACACATTCTTACTGCCACCAAAACATGGTCCCACCTTTATATGCATGCTAGCCACGTAGATAATAATCCAAACTTAACCAACGAGAAAGATGATGCACAACTTTCCATTTCACACTCTCATCCCTAATTCCAAACACTTTATTTTAGATTTATCAACAACTACTATATAAAGATTGATGGCAACTCAAAATTCAAACTAAAACAAGAAAACAAAAACCTAGATATATTACATGAAAACTTTTCACTACATAATAAAACATAAACAAATACTACTATACTACTTTTCACTCTAGCTAGTATTTTTCAAGTTCTAATTAATTAGCTCAACCCTAACAAATCTCACCATCTTCATTCCATCCTCCCCTCGACCCCCCCACCACCCACCCACCCCCACCTCGCCGGGCAGTCCTTTTCTCAACCACCACCTTTTACCTCATTTAACATCATGCTTTCTCCTTCTCCAATCTCTCTGCTTTGTGCTCTTTTACTTTGTTTACCACTTGCTATTATTTTCACTATCACCACCCCTCTTAATAATTCCTCCTCAGTCCCTACAAATCATAGTATCCAACAAAAACATAGCAAAGAACATCCTAGTACAGAATCATCTTCAGTAATACTTTTGCATGAAGAAGTTGACGATAACTTACTATTTCAAGAAGCTGCCAAAGTCAATTCAATACCACAACCAGTTACAGCACCAAAGAAACTAGCATTCATGTTTCTCACAACTACACCACTTCCATTTGCGCCCCTATGGGAGCTTTTCTTTAATAATACACCTAAAAACCTTTACAACGTATATATACACGCCGACCCACGTTTCAACTATACGCCGCCGTTTCAAGGCGTGTTTGCTGGCCAAGTCATCCCTTCAAAACCAACTCGCCGCCACTCTCCAACTCTGACTGCGGCTGGGCGTCGGTTACTCGCCCGAGCACTCCTCCATGACAAGTTGAATTACATGTTTGCCCTTCTTTCCCCATCTTGTATTCCGCTTCACTCTTTTAGTTTCACTTACAGAGTTTTGATAAACTCTAAAAAGAGCTTTATTGAGATACTGGGGAACGAGAGCTGGGCATACGACAGATGGGCGGCGCGTGGGGAACACGCGATGCTACCGGAAGTGAAGTTTGAAGATTTTCGGATTGGGTCCCAATTCTTTGTTATAAAACGTAAGCACGCGCGGATAATTGTGCGTGACAGGAAGTTATGGTCAAAATTCAAGCTACCTTGCTTAGAAGCTTCCACGTGTTATCCTGAAGAGCATTATTTCTCTACGCTGCTGAACATGGTAGACCCGCAAGGTTGTGTTCCAACCACTTTAACACACGTTAACTGGAAGGGTAGTCATGGGGGACATCCTCGTACTTACACTGCTAGTGAGGTGGGACCAGAGTTGATCTTGACCCTTCGATCGACCCGGCCTCGATATGGTGATGAAGTAACCAACGGTTCGGATTTATCTGTTGCTAAACGATATGACCCTTTCTTATTTGCGAGGAAATTTTCTCCAGATTCTCTCCAGCCGTTAATGAATATATCGAGCGACTTTATCTTTAAAGATTGACTATATTTAGTTGTGGTTATCTCCTCTTTATTTCTTCTACTTTAGATTCCTCAGCAAGTCAGCTATAATCCTTGATCCGACAAAGCTCCGGAAAGAAACAATTTAAGAATAAAAATAAAAAATTTCAACGTAGCAAAAGTCCAAAAATAAAAATCCGATCTCATTTTTTTTTAAAATTAACTTGTGCATATTTCAACTATTACATATGATTTCTTGGGGCTATTTGTTAATTCTCACCGGTACAGATACGTTTAGTCAGACGAAAATAAATTACTTAATATTTGTCATTGTTGGAATTTAAATTGAAGTTTTCAAAGTTTGCATCCACTTTATTGACCAACAAGTCACCTTGATCGCTCGTTAAATATTTCTCAAAAACAAGTTGAGTGATAATGGGGTTGTAACGACCTGACCGGTTGTTTTGCTTTTTAGAACCTTATTCCCCTAAATAAGACTTCTCCTACTTGCTTTAATTGATTTATGACTTGCGGGGATGGTTGGTTCGGAATTTGGAAGAGTTTGGGTTAAAATCGGAATACTTGGTTCCTTAAGGTTGGCTTAAAAGGCCAAGTTTGCCTTCAGTCAACGTTTTGAGTAAACGACCTCGAAATCCGGATTTGAAGGTTCCAGCAAGTTTGTATGATGATTTCGGACTTGGGCGTATGTCCGGATCGGGTTATGGATGACCCGGGAGCGTTTTGGCGCCTAATAGTGAAAGTTGATTCCTTAAGGATTTTGAAGTTCTTAAATATTTGGTCTGGAGCGGGTTTTTGTGTTATCGAGGCCCGAACGGAATTCCGAGACCGGGAATAGATCCGTATTGTCATTTAAGAGTTGCACGTAAAATTTGGTGTCAATCCTAGTAGTATAAGTGTGTTTCGTCACACTGGAAGTAGATTGAAGAACTTGAAGTTCATAAGTTTGATTAAATTGGTTTTAGGGGGTGATTCTTAGATTTAGCGTTGTTTCTGGTGTTTCGAGGGTTCCAACGAGTCCGTTTTATCATTTCAAACTTGTAGGTATGTTCGGGCGGCGCCCAGAAAGCCCCGAGCGTCAATCGGACGAGACTCGAGCTTAGTTGGAAATGTGGGAAAGGGCTGAAGCTTCAGGCTTCTGTAATAACCGCACCTGCGGTTGGCCAGCCGCAGGTGCGAGCCCGCAGAAGCGGCTAGGCCATCGCAGATGCGGCCACGGGTGGCCGGCCCAAGAGCCGCAGAAGCGGTCCAAAATCCGCAGAAGGGATTGCTTCTCGCAGGAGCGGCCCAACCGGCCAGGATAATTTCCACAGAAGCGGACTCATATCCGCAGATGCGGTGGGCGCAGGTGCGGCCCAGGACCGCAGATGCGGAAATCACTGAAGGCAGTGACCTTCATTTGTTGCAGGTATTAGCCATTTTTGGTTCATTTCCACTCAAAAGTTGGACAATTTTGGAGCTCTTGAGAGAAGATTTTCACCAAGCTCCTGGAGGTAAGTGATACCTACATTACGTGAGTTAAATACTTGGATTTTGGGTAGATTAACATGTAAAGATTAGTGAAAAATCATGGAATTAGAGTAAAACCTAGGGCTTTGATAAAAACGTGATTTGACCACGATATTCGTTATGGAATGAAGTAAAAATTCTATATTCTTGATCCTTAGGTTATGGGTAACAACTTCCTTCGAAAATTTCCGGAATCCGCGCATGTGGGCCCGGGGTTGAATTTTAGGAACCTTGCCCTTGGGGTTGGATAATCGCTTTAATAGCTAGAATATGGATTTGTTAACCTATAATGATGGACTTTTACTCTATTTGAATAGTTTCGGATTGTGCGACTCCGGTTTGAGAGTTTGGATGCATTCTTGAGTTGGAAGTAGGCTCGAAAATTTTCGGAATCCGCGCACGTTTTAACTATACTCTGTCGTTTCAAGGTGTGTTTGCTCGCCGAGTCATTCCTTCAAAACCCACTCGCCACCACTCTCCAACTCTGACTACGGTGGAGCGTCGGTTACTCGCTCAAGCACTCATCCATGACAAGTTGAATTACATGTTTGCCCTTCTCTCCCCATCTTGTATTCCGCTCCATTCTTTCAATTTTACCTATAGAGTTTTGATACAATCTAGAAAGAGCTTTATTGAGATACTGGGGAATGAGAGCTGGGCATACGACAGATGGGTGGCGCGTGGGGAACACGCGATGTTACCGGAGGTGAAGTTTGAAGATTTTCGTATTGGGTCTCAATTTTTCGTTATAAAACGCAAACACGCGAGGATAATTGTGCGTGACAGGAAGTTATGGTCAAAATTCAAGCGACCTTGCTTAGAAGCTTCCACGTGTTATCTTGAGGAGCATTATTTCTCTACGCTGCTGAACTTGGTAGACCCGCAAGGCTGTGTTCCAACCACTTTAACACACATTAACTGGAAGGCTTGTCATGGAGGGCATCCTCGTACTTACACTGCTAGCGAGGTAGGACCAGAATTGATCTCGACTCTTCGATCGACCCGGCCTCGATACGGTGATGAAGTAACCAACGGTTCGGATTTATCTGTTGCTAAACGATATGACCCTTTCTTATTTGCGAGGAAATTTTCTCCAGATTCTCTTCGGCCGTTAATGAATATATCGAGCGACTTTAATTGTGTTTACCGTGAAAATGGTAATTATAATTAAATTTGATTATGGGACTCTAAAAATACGTGATCTATTTTTATGCCAGTTGTTAAGCAGTTGATGCTATATATGTGAGACTTAGAAGCGAGATAATAGTTAAGGATGAAATGATAATCAAACTGATAGGTTGACAATCGGGGGCCTCGAGCTCGTCGATCCGGGGGACCTCGAGGTCGATTCCGGGGCTCGACTGTGAGCTATCGAAGGTAATCTAAGTATGACTAATGGTTATGATAAAATCAAAGAAGGCTCTTTATGGCCAATGATAAGCAATAAATGATGAACATTAATGAAGATAATAAATGGAAACAAATATATCAAGAGAATATGTAAGAGAGCAGAGAGAATGCTATTTTATATTTCTTGTGAAGCAGCTGAAGCAACCGGACCCCACAGTATGGCAAGGACCCCCTTTATATAGAAAAGGAGGATCTCATCATAGTATAAACACATTTATTACAAAGATATAGAGATGGGACAACTAGTTGACGTCATGATGCGGGCTCAGACTAGCCTGACAGACTTTGTCGGCTCCAGCTGCACTCCTTGGGAACTCCCCCTTTTCCCGAGATAGCCGTTGGTCTACATGGTTCCGAGGTCGAGCATCGACAGCCCTCGAAGGTGAAACTCGACCCCAGTCTCGATCCTTGGGAAGTATGTTCGCGGGGCATCATAATGACGGGGAAATTGGACCCCCCGATTTTACCGTGCACAACTTTATCTTTAATGATTGACTATATTTAGTTGTGGTTATCTCCTCTTTATTTCGGGGAAATTGGACACCCCGATATTATGGCAGTTAGCTGTCTCTTAGCCTCTTTCAACGTGTACGCGGGGTTTCTATAAATACTCTCCTTCTTGTTCTTTACAACTCACTACATTTACATCCCCTAGAAAAGGTTCGTTCTGCCTTTACTTCTATTCTTTCTTAGGAACGCAACTCCCCTTTTCTTCCGGAATTTTCTAGGAATGGCGAAAACTTCCGCCTCTGCTTCTCAGGAGAATGCGACCTCATCCTCTTTGCTTTTATCTCAAGGTTAAGCGGGCATACCTCCTTGTGCTGAGGAATATGTCCCAGGATTCTTTGCGATGGCTTCTGATTTCAAGGTCGAGAGGCCTTCTTCGAAGCCGGGGCGTCGTGATTGATTCCTTTCAGGGAACGACCCTACCTCCTAAGGGAGTGCAAGATGCCCCGCGCGTAGAACCTTCTGATGTAGGGAGACCTATCGAAGGCGTAGATACGATCGAGAGGCTTCCAACCGTTCCCGAGGAAACCCCTGAGATCGATGCTTCGCTCGTTTTTGGTGAGATGAGCAGGCCTTGCGAGCAGGTAATTTGTGCGAATCCTGTCTGTCGCTCTAGCCTCGGTCGTTCTGACCTTTGCCTGTCTAACTTGCCTTTTTTCGTGGCTTCAGGCCAATGCGCTTTATAGTCAGACTTTCACCTGGTATCAGGATGAGGTGACCCTTCATGAGCGCGAGAAGGCTCACCTTACTGAACAGGTTACTTAGTCCTCGTTTGTCATTACCTGGATGTTTTGCCAGATCCAGTGTTTTAACATCTTGGATCTGATTCGTGCAGTTTGAGAAGGAAGTTGCCCTACTGAGGGAGGAGCTCCAGGCCAGAGACTCTGAAGTCTCCGAACTCAAACGGCATGTGAGGGAGATAACTTCCGAGAGGGATGCCCTTCAGGAGAAGGTGACCTTAGTTGGGCGTCAGCTTAGTGACGCGAGGGAGGATAGTGACAGGTACAGAGGTCTCCATTATGAGCTGGTAGCTGCATTATCCGGGATCAAAACTGAAGCCGAGGCGCTTATATCTTTGCATAGAGAGGATGCTATTGAGACAAGCGCTCAAAGTGGGAGGGCGCCTGAGGGGGCCAATCCGAAATTGACTCGAGCTGTGGAGCGTGCTCGATTGGGATCTCGGAGGCAGGCTTTTAGGGACGTTCATGCGGGAGATATCATTCTGCCTATCGAGCTAGGGAGGGTGGAGACCCTAGAGAGGAAAGATGCTGACTTGCTTGCTTTCGGAGGTGTGCCAGGCAGTGGCTCAGGAGGTGATAAAAATGAAGGCGGAGCCCCCGGAGGGGGAGAGGCCGTCGAGAAGGGGCCGTTGAAGGACCCGTAGTTGTTCGGGTGCAACCCTTGGTGAAGCCATCGCAGATGAAGACTTGATGATAGATTAGGATTCTGTTTGCTTCTCTCTTTGTAAGGGTTTTTTCAATATTTGTAAACATCCCCTTGTGGGCCATAAGAAGGCCTTTTGTTTCCTACCCATTCTTTTCCCTTTTGTTTTTCGGAAATACTATGTGATGTATTTTGATTTTCGACCCGAGGTCCCAGGTCTCGGGTTAGACCCTCGGTCCTGGTTTTTTCATGCATCCGGCCGGCACGACTTTTGATCTTAGCGTTGGTGGCAGTGACTCGTACGT